GTGTGTAATTAAACCAAAGTTTGTTTTGATGATAGTTCTCGGTACATTAAGATTAATTCTACATATTTCACCATCACCATACTAATAGTGATTTATTGAAAGTTAAGGCAGGGGATGACTGAATTGAGAATGCTACTGTCAACTCTACAGTAAAATAATCAGGTCCCGATGGAAATTTTCATTCCTGACAAATCCTTCAGCGCATGTATACAACTGTTCTGCAACTCTGGTTTGAATGATAATGGGTGTCGTCCACTTAACAATATAAAAACTCTAATTGCAACTCCTACATGTCATGAATTAATACCAACAACATGATATGAATGTACATAGTTTGAAATTTATGTACTGTATTGATGAAAAAAAATTAGTATTCTTTCGCTTGCGTGAATAATCGTTAATAGTTACATTAGCTATGAATATTAACATTATTAGGTAAAGGTGGACTATGCAATTTGATGTTAATATTAGAACCACATAATAAAATATTATTTTTGGAGGACTTGATCTCTTCTGAGTGTTCTGTTAAATGTGTTAAACATACTTTTTGTACAGTATAAAATTCCAATTAATATTCTTATGCATAATTTATTTAAAATCTTGTATTAAATGCATATATTTAATAATATGTACAAAAGGTCATGTCTCATTTAATTTTTGTTAGCCAAAGTTATTAGATTTATCTCAAAATAGCATATAATCTTACAGTTAGCAGCTTATTTCATTGGTTCTTTCTCACTTTAGTTTCGAATTTGAACACATCAGATCTCTTAATATAATAGTTAGCTATTAGATAAATATATTCACTTAAGTCTGAAGAAGGCTATAGACTGCAGGCAAATACCAGCTTATATACCAAAAATATGGTGATATTTTTGTGCATTTTCTCCAAGTTACAAAAAATGATATATTAATATTAACTTCTATAACATAACCAATACTTTGAAAATATTATAAAACTATAAACTCAATTCTAATGAAATATTTTATCACTAAATCATGTCAAACCACTAACTTGGAAATATTACAAAAACCCTAATTACCGAAACATATTATCTTATCATAGAAAGGATAAAAATTTGTTAAGCCTTTTTGTTTTGAAGAATTGCAGTTAGTATTCATCCTGTGTTAATATTTAAGTCAGTTTAACTACATACAAGTGACCAAAATGTTGCTGTAGCTATGAGAATCTGGTACCAATGTGATAACTAGATGCAAAAAAAAAAAGAACTGTATATCTGACAATAATTAAAAAAAAGGTTTCTAAGATTAGCAATTTATTACCTCCTCCTTATTTTACACTTTAAAATACAGAATATTTCACGAGTATTTATGCAAATGTTTAGTAAAACAATTTTTATCAAGTTGCGTTCAAGTAATGTATTTCTTCTCCAAAACCAAGTCACCATATTTCCGAGATGTAAATACCATTTTACTTAATCTTTCACTATGACACTATTCAAGTCAAGCATCTCACTTTTTACCTGATTTTTCTTTAAGTTACATATTATTGTACAAAAGATCTTCAAACATGTAACAAACACCATACTTTCATTAGAGTATTGGTTTATGTGAATATGATTTGCTCTTAACTGATCCTAACCTAGTAACTACTTTATTTTGAAATCCCGTGCTGCTCTACTGACGTAACTGAAACAGCACAATCTTTTTTTTTACCTGATCTTCCATTAAAGCAACAAGAGGCGACACCACAAGGGTTATACATTTTCTCTCCTTGGCATATAAGTATGCTGGAAGCTGGTAACATAAAGATTTTCCAGACCCAGTAGACTGTACAACTAATGTAGACATTCCTGTACAGAGAATACTAAACCTTAGCTGTCATAATTACAAAAAGACATGGACATTTTACAAAATAAAAAAATCAATATCATACAGAATTAAGGATAAAATAATTACAATCAACTCACCTAAACTTTATGTATTAAACTTATAAATAGTTAAAACTTTGATATATAAAACCAGAACAATAACTAGGATTATCTTTATTTATAGTAATTAAACAAACAAAAGATATTCAATATACTAATCATTTGAGAGAAAAAACTTAAACAATGGTGACGAGGAACCCACTTTGAGACTAATAATGGCTGGAGATGGCTTGAATGGGTAATGAAGAAAAAACTTTAATATAAGTTTAACATAACAACACGGGTTGGGAAAATTCAATGATATCTCAGCAAATGGAGAAGTTAGGACATTAAAACTTGTACATTTGCTGTTATGTTAAACTTATATTAAAGTTTTTCTTCAGTACCCATTCAAGCCGTCTCAAGCCATTATTTTTCTCTACTGCGTATGATACACAATTGGCAAGCTCTGCCCAACTAGTTCAACGATTTTAGGTATTTAATCCAAGCTTCTGTATTTCTTTGCCCAGAGCTAACACTGATTTATTTATTTTTAAGAAGTTCTTGCAAAATATATTAATGAAAGTTGTCTTTATCTCAGTACTTAAGCATGTGTAAGTGTGTGTGTTTAGAAATTTAACTTAGGAAGAGTTTTTGCATCAATAGTATCTCAATATTTAAACGATCTGCTTATGGACATAACATGAATTTTCTGTCACTGTATCTGTTATTATATGTTAAAAAATTCTATAAGTCTTAACACCTATATATATATGATAACAGTGTACCTTTTTGCCTAACCACTGTAAATAACATGTTTGAACAAGTGCTCTATAGATTATGATCTCCATGCCTATGCTAGCTGAAATATGTAAGTTTTGTAAACCTTCACAGAGAGAGAAAAATTCAAAACTTCAATGACCATTAACTAGGCTCATGGCCTCAAAAACCATTCTACAATATATTCATATTTTAGTCCATTTTCTACCTACTGCATAGTACAAAAGTTCTTTAATTTTATAATAAAAAAGCACAGTTAACAGAAAACTTACTTTCTTGGAATTGCAGACCCAATTTTTAGCAATGTTTTTTAAATTTGTATCATTAAATCATAACCAACTTAACAATTCTGTACACATCTCTCAGCATCAATTTAAAAAAAAAGTGCAAAATCAGCTTTCTGTTGAGACAGAAATCTATATAGACATAATCCACTGTGCACCTAAACATAACCATAATTTTATATTTTTATATCTCATACTCTTTACCTATCACTAACAGTAGCAAATTATCCATATCTAAGGTGAAAAATATGAAATAATAGCAAACGTACATTTTAACTTGTACAAGAACTAAGCCATATTTACATATCCAACGTCAAACACACTATATATGTTTATGGATGTTGTAAGGTAGATCAATATTATATCCATTTTAGCTTGTAAAAAAACTAAGTCACATTTACATATCCAATATCAAACACAATATATATCTAACTTTCAGCACGGGCTCACTCCCTGGGACAGACCTCATAACCATTTTGTGCTTGTTATAGTTTTCATGTTATAACTTTTAAATTAGTAGGCGAATGTTAACTAAATTTGGCAGATTATCAGTAAATATTAGAATGCTTTCATACTCAAAATATTATTATTATTATTTTTTATTAAGTCTTGAGGTTTGTAAAGCAATGTTTTTCTCATGCCTTTTTTTTTCTTTTTGCATGTTGCCTATCTAACATGCAAAGTAAATTT